CGGCACCGGTGGGCAGTAAGGACATCAGTAGACAAAAAAAACAATAGCAAACCAAAAAAATTAAAATAACCTAATAAAACCATCTCCAAAATAAGAACGAGCTGCAGTCACCACTTGCTTCTACCCCCTGTGGTAGGTGGTGGTTAAACAAGTGGCTAGTAGACTCCATGACAGAATACTTCACACTGAACTATTTGTGTAGTCTGAGGACCTCATTGCACATGAAATTAAAGCTTGGCCATCAGATATTTTCATTAACAAATGAAACAAGATCAAATTATAAATGTTATGCTTAAATATGTAGCCTCAGGGTAGGAGTGTTCGTGTTAACTCTGTTTGCCTGGTTAACACTTTAAAAAATAAAAACAAAGCTTTATTACTTTCATGTACTCCATATACAGGGATACACATACAGCAGGATCAATCAGTGTCTATAGCCAACTCCAGCCAGATTTTGTTGGCCAGCTAATTAATGCCTATATTCACCATTAATACAACACCTAGCTATCACTGTAACAGAACAAAATGTACAGGCATTACCAGCTAGCTAATATGGTTCCAGAGACAGAACCTAAAAATTATATCAACCTTCAAGATTGTTTCAATCATGGATGCTATCAGTAAGGATACTTCATGGCACTTCCTCAACTGCACATATTGCACAGCATCAGATAGCAGGTTAAAATGGAAAGGATATGGAAGTGGCCACAACCTGTTTTAAAGGGCATTAAGGGATTAAGGAGAATTTGTAAAACATGCCAGTAAAATTGGCCACTGGGCTGGGTTTTTAGAGCTGTGACCTCACAAATCTGTAGAAGAAGTGGCAACCATGTCTGGTTAAAAAACAGGGACATGAGTAACTGCATACAATATGCGATAAAACAGATTAGCAAACCCTCTTTTTATTTTCACTATCATTTTATAATGATGTGTGTATAAAATATTCTGCACTATAAAATAATAAATGTGAAAAAAAAAGTTCATAAAAATGTGTTCCTTATGGAACAGTACTGAGTCTGGCAAGAAACTTCTTAAGGTTAAGCTGTCCCTGTGCTTAAGCAGCACAAAGCCATGCACATAGGGGCATGGAGGTAAAACTCCACACTTTCTTAGCGACGGCAAAGAAAAATTCTGTCCCAGTGGGGAATTAAATCCTGGTATTACATCCACACACTTCACTGATTTAGGTATTACTTGTTATAATATGAAATCTCTGTTTGCACTGAACACACGTAATTACAGATCTGGAACAATGTTAGAAGCATCTGACACTGAGTCTTATTAAACTACAATCATTTGCCAACCTGGAGAACAATTTTTAACTCTTTCAATTAATATCAAAAACAATTTTTTGTAATACAAAACAAATATTTAACAGTAAATAATTAATGATAATCCTGTACAACATTAATATCAAAAACCTGACTACCCTTTCCCCAAAGCCGAAGATATTTTACCAATTCATCTACTTGCTTTTCTAATTGTGGAAGCAAAATACTACACAGTTCACCCAGTGTAACAGGAAAAAAGGTTCACATGGCGTCAATTATAAAATAAAAATATACTTATAAAAGTACATGAACACAATCCACTGATAAAATGTTCTCATGTATCACTCATAAAGAGTACAGTTATACAAATTAATCACACAGTGAAGAGTCCTTCAATGATGAAGAAATTGAACAAATAAATTCCAAGTTCTTCATTCTGTCTGACAGAAAATCAGCAATAAACAAGAAACATAACAAGTTCAACTATCAATATCAAAACCTTAGTTTTGAATATGCATCACAATATACTGTACTGTAGTAAAAGATGGAACTCATTACTCCACCAAACAATCAACACACTTTTACACATCCAACCACTCATCACGTTTCTCAAGTGACTCATAATCTGATGAAAACAATACACTTGAAATTAAATTTGCAGCAACAAATCCCCAAAGAGGAACTGAAAGTTCAGGACTAAACAATGGCACTGCCACAAGACAGGCAAGAAGTTTTGCTAAGGCTTGTGAACGTTGGAACCGCTGATTAGAGCGAAGTTTTGCTGACCACAATTGCAACAAAACTCCCAATACACCACTGAGAAGGCATCCCAAGTAGAAACGAATCTGACGCCGATGCTGGAAATGGAGTACAGAGAAAGCTTCCTCCAGGTAGAAGCTAGATGGCGCAAGAATTATCACACTAAAAAAGATTTGCACTATTAGGTTTCAACAGACACCACTAAATGAAGTGTCTTTAACAGAGAACACTGTAAAGTAAAAATATGAAAGCCATTCTTAATCTTCTGATTTATTTGGTCATGCACATATGTGGAAACAGAGTATACTCAGGAAATTATTCAAACCTAAGATTTTGATAAATTGTATTTCCAACTTCTGGAGAACCTTTGCCTGCCTGTACCTTTTGGATAAATCTCATGGCAAGAATGTTAAATGAACAACTTATGAAAATATGTAATGCACCATTTTGTCACCATCATCATCTTTTGGTCATGTACATTATTTCTTATGGCTTTTCTGTAAAACTTCTGAAGGAGATCTGCTTCAGCAGCTTCAGTAAATGTTCTGTACCCAGTACCTTACCATCTGCAAGTTTTTGTAAGGTATTCATTCCTGTTTTGCACACTTCTGAAGTATTTATTCCAATCCTTCAGCTTCCATTCTCCAACTCATTTCCTAAAAGTTTCCACATAGTTCTGTTTGTATTCTTCTTCACTGCTGTGTCCATGACAGTATTTTCTTAGACACTCAACATCAACAGTTTTAGTGGCAATTACACATGCAGCACGCAGACCTCTCTTCATGAATGATTCATGCAGGTTGAAAGGCAAGAAGAATAAAAAACAGATGTTGCCAATAAAAATTTGCAGTTACCAATAGGTAAAACATTAAATTCCCTACAAAATGAGGGTCTATTCACAAATGTAGCTCAAATACTTTCAGAGATATAAATGATTATAAATATTGGCACAATGGTCAGAAAAGGGTGTGATATGTCTGTCCCCCATTTTCAAAATAATCCTAAACAAAACTGAAATAATTTATTTCTATTCACAAAAATGCTAAATAACAAATTCTCTGCACTAGGACTAAAAATCACTATACAAACAACCTTTAAAATGTAAAATGTATCAACAATAAACAAACTTCATGGAAGATATCTTAAAATCTCAAAGGAAGCATATTATAAAGCATACTATGTCTACTTCTTTCCACTTTTGTTTTATCTCATCAGCAACCATCCAACTGCCTTTAAATTTATAGGAAATGAAGTTCTCATTAACCCACATCATCTGTGGTCTGCAGCTTACACATGATCCAGCTGGTCTACGTATTGCACCAGCATGCAGTATACTGCCAAACAATTAAGCCCAGAACTTAAAGTCTGACCAGCAGCCCCATAATAGGAGGATTTAAATCTCCTATTCCCATATAAGAAAGGTTAAAAAACAACTTTCAAGGAAAATAATAATTTTCTAAAATATGGAGTTATTGCACAAATTCTAACATCTACAAGTTCATCAAATTTTACTTGTAATAGTGACTACATAACAAAATTACCTGAAAATGTTACTGTAGTAAAGTTTGTCTACTTCAGTATATCGAGGATTTGTGATACGTGAATGCAGTATTTGTGCTGTTAGGAACAGTATGTGGGCCAGAAGCCATGAGTAACCAGAATCTGTAAACTAACACGAAATTGTATTTTTTTTAAATGTCACATTCATGGTTAACTCTTGGGCAACCACTGCCATGAATAAGGCTCATTATTATAGAAACACTATACTAGACACTGTCCATTGTCTGAACTATATTTCATATACATAATATTTCAGGAGTTGGCTGTCATACAGAAACTTGTTTTTCTTTCCATACTGTCAGTGAGAATGGTCAAGATCGAATGGTGGACTTCAAAAAAAGTAGGCTAGTGTGCTAACCACTAGGCCACAGGGGTGACCAAGAAATTGCTGTAGTTACAATTCTATTTATGTTACACATCCAGCTGGATAATAGACAATATCTAACATAGTGTTTACTTAATGAATCAAACACTATCACAAACCTTTAGAGAATCATAAGACTCATTAATATTATTTTAAGCACATTTGTTATTTAACTTACTGGTAAGCTGACGTCGAGTAAAATTACAGACACTGCTGCTCCTAGACTAACAAGACCCGCTGTCACTTGGACTAACCCTGGGTTAAGCAGACTTGCTGAACAGTCCAACAGGAAGATGCAGGCTGGTGGGATATTACAAACCGAGACAAACACAGGTATTGGCTACAAAGAAAACAAATATAAAGTGCAGTGAAGAGATGAAACATGACAGTTCACACACAAAAGTATAATTCAGATTAAGGTTACATTTCAAATTATGATGTGACCTCTCACCATGATACACAGCACATTTTTTAGTCCAACACAAGTGCTTCTTTCGGGTTAAATTAAATCAGGTTAGATAAGCACACCATAGTAGATATTTGAATTATACTCACATTAGATCATAACCATTCAATTTGCAACTTACTTACAAGAGTTGCTAATGCTTTGGATCCTGCAACAATTGCTCCAAGAAAATATAAACAGTGTGGCAGCAGATTTATCGCCGTGGTCTTATCCAGCACAGTTACATCTAACTGCTTTTTCATAGTCAGACACTTCAAAATTAAAACACCAACTAAAGTCTGCCAACCCTGGAAGACTGTAGGATAAGTAAACTTCAATACTGACAGCACATACTGCAAAAATGAATTAAGGCATACAAGAAAAAATTCATTTAACTGAACAAATGCCCTCTCTTCTCATAAACAACAAAAAAGTAAAAGATCCAGAAAAAGTTGATGATGAATTAAATACTTTCATTTTAACAATTGCTGAGAGTTTAAATTGTATAAAGTGGGGATAGAAGATGCAATTTCAGTTCTATGGGTTCTGGTGATGGTGTACTGAAATCTATATTACTGAGTTTTTTGGACTTTGTCCATTGTCTGGTATTCTTCAAAGAAACTACTCAAGAAGAGATTTTTGTCCACAGGTGTCAGGAGGGGGGGAGGGCACTTACTCTGTTGGGTCTATCAGAAAGAGTTAACCTCAATCACTAGTTAGCTCTGTGACTGAGGTTAGCTCTTTCTAATAGACCCAACAGAATAGGTGACCCTTTCCTTACACCAGATGACAAAGATAGATCCAGTTTTCAAAAAGTTGTGTTGTTTAGAATAAAAACGTGATAATCCAAGATGCAAATTTATTTTTAAAATTTAAAGAAGCATTCAAAAGGTGCTTAAATATACACTCCATTTACCCTATTAATGAATTTGTGATGTTTAAAAATGACTCATAATATTTCATCTATTTATTTTGTGTAACTTATCTGCTGTAAATGTGTGGACTTAGTTATACATTTTTTTGTATTAACACAGAAACTTACTTCATATATTCTTAAGTTATTTGGAAATGTTTCCTTAAAATCAATACCAAAACTGTTTTATACTGACTGCCATTGTAGAGAAGCAGATAGCCAAATCAAGCTGTAAGCTGAAATTAGGAGGAGAATCCAAGAGGTATAATTACATTAGATTATATCAGATTAGCTTTGGTATCAGGGTCAGAATTGATTTACATTCCATAGATCCTTCCTAGGACAAGTCAAGTATATGGAAGCATGTTATAGTATGAATATAAATAATACAATAAAATATCAAAACAGCATACTTATTACATCTGTTTACTTGTAGTATTTAAAAATTTTCAATTGAAGTACATTCTTCTTTCGAGTAGGAGTGAGATGAAACAATCTTTCAATGTCGACTTTCATATCATGAATTATATGTTCCATGGATGCCACCTTAAGCATCAAAACATATATTTTAAAGTGCAAATGCCCAAAATTTTAAAAGTAATGATGATTTCGGGCAGTACAATAATATAATATTGTGAAAGTCGTACAACCAATGTGTTATATAATTCTCATTCTTCTATGCACAAAGCAGTTACTATGTAAAGTACATTCATAGAAAATAATAAAAGCTTTTTAAAGCAAAACAGGAATTTTTACAAAAATAATTTTAGTGCCAGCAAATCATATGTTTCTGACCGATCTAAACGCGTAAATTACGGATCGCAAAACTCACGACTGTCATGATATGACAGCTCAGACCGTATAGTAATTCGCATGTAGGTTATGTTTACCTTATTAACAAATATCGCCGATACAAATAAAACTACATAAGTAATGAATTCAGAATACTCTGATTTTATTACAAATTTTATCGTATTTTTCCGTAATTGATAATATTCTTGTAGTTTTGAAATATACATTGCCTTGTATATTTTCTGACATTAACTGCAACGAAACAAAACACATTTGACAACACAGGTACAACACTCTGACCATTTATTACCAAGCTCAGACCGCTTTCCTTCGTTTGCAGAACTTAAATTTATCGTACTAATTTTAAGGAGTGTAGAAAGTATAATTTGTAAATAACTTTTGTGCATAATGTATCATTTTCTGCAATTGAATAAATTTAACTAACAAACCTTGATTACAATAGAGCAATTCAATTACATTAATACTTATATATAATTATGTCTCTAGAGAAGATACACAACCCTACACTATTGAACACGCCGTCGTAATGTAACCACCAGAGATGAATTAGAAGAAACCACAACGGACATAATGAAAGTATCAGAAAGCGCATCGGTTTCTAGTGTGGTTCGGTAAATTGAGTTGTTTGGTCTGTAGCAGATTTCATTTGGAATTCTGCTGTTGGACCGGTGGTGTCGTAAGAAGGATACGAATAAGCGATTTACTCAGAATGGTACGTCAGTTTACACATGTTACAGTCTTTATATTCTAAAGGAACTGTTACTGTAAGAACAGGTAATCTACCTTAAGGTCCCCATGCAAGGTTACAAAGGATGGACTTAATAGTCTGAGAAAGCAAGCTTTTGCCGTAAATTGCAGTGCGCAGTTATTCCTGTGTTTTAAAATAGAAGTAATTTTGATAAATTATTGTGATTACTGTAGTAACCTCAGCTGTCTGAAGTGTCGTGAAAGAATAATGGCGGCGTAATTTATTGAGAGGCATTAAATGTATGCACTCGGAGTAAGGCTGTTTACTGTCCGTGAATGTTTGACGTTTCGAAAGAAAATTATAATAATGTTCACTTGCACATCCTTTGCTCTAATTCGGGCCAGTAATTTTCATATGCATTCACATGATTGGTGGGATTTTGAAGCTTATGACTACGACTGAATGACAAGTTTTCTAAAATTGAATTTGAGAGGATTAAATGTTGGAAAATGATCAGAATCGTATTAAAATTGCATAAGTTTAGTTTTATTCTTACTATAGTCTGGAGTAGTGTAAGATTTCCCTTTATAGAATTTTCATATTTTTATTCCATGTTAATTGTTTGATTGTGCATATTTTTATCAAAGTTTCATGCATGATGTTCCACTCAGAATTAACGTTTGAAAAGTTCAATTTAACATTATAAAAGAGAAATGCAGAATGAAGTGGAAGAACATGAATGCTGGGGCCGTGTATGTGGTCTCTTTGTCCTCTGAATTTTGTATATATCCATCCTCAGATTGCCTAGCAGTGCTCTCTGACTGAATTTAAAGTTGTATTCTATAAAAAAGATTTTCTATATAAAAGCATGTACTTATGCAGATGTGCCATGAACAATGTTTGTTGCACTTAAAATTGATCACCTGAAAACCAGAAATCACCATCCTTGAAACACTTCGTGCTAATTATTCATTGATCAGTAAAATGTTTTGGAAGTAATGCAGCATGCCACAGTAGTAACATAATCCTTAAAGTAGATAAATCATTAGGTATTTCCATATAATTTAAATTTTGTTCTAAACCACTGTTAATGATAGTGGTATATGTAGGGTTTCATTAATTATAGTTTATTACTGAAATTGACAGGTGAACAATGCTGTTGACATAGTATTCTCTTACTGCAGACTTGTTTCTTTTTACAATAAAATTTTGCAATAAATAAAACCATTCGACATATTGCCCCTGACATTGAAAAGGAATGGAGGATTGTAGTATTTAAAAATTTTCAATTGAAGTACATTCTTCTTTCGAGTAGGAGTGAGATGAAACAATCTTTCAATGTCGACTTTCATATCATGAATTATATGTTCCATGGATGCCACCTTAAGCATCAAAACATATATTTTAAAGTGCAAATGCCCAAAATTTTAAAAGTAATGATGATTTCGGGCAGTACAATAATATAATATTGTGAAAGTCGTACAACCAATGTGTTATATAATTCTCATTCTTCTATGCACAAAGCAGTTACTATGTAAAGTACATTCATAGAAAATAATAAAAGCTTTTTAAAGCAAAACAGGAATTTTTACAAAAATAATTTTAGTGCCAGCAAATCATATGTTTCTGACCGATCTAAACGCGTAAATTACGGATCGCAAAACTCACGACTGTCATGATATGACAGCTCAGACCGTATAGTAATTCGCATGTAGGTTATGTTTACCTTATTAACAAATATCGCCGATACAAATAAAACTACATAAGTAATGAATTCAGAATACTCTGATTTTATTACAAATTTTATCGTATTTTTCCGTAATTGATAATATTCTTGTAGTTTTGAAATATACATTGCCTTGTATATTTTCTGACATTAACTGCAACGAAACAAAACACATTTGACAACACAGGTACAACACTCTGACCATTTATTACCAAGCTCAGACCGCTTTCCTTCGTTTGCAGAACTTAAATTTATCGTACTAATTTTAAGGAGTGTAGAAAGTATAATTTGTAAATAACTTTTGTGCATAATGTATCATTTTCTGCAATTGAATAAATTTAACTAACAAACCTTGATTACAATAGAGCAATTCAATTACATTAATACTTATATATAATTATGTCTCTAGAGAAGATACACAACCCTACACTATTGAACACGCCGTCGTAATGTAACCACCAGAGATGAATTAGAAGAAACCACAACGGACATAATGAAAGTATCAGAAAGCGCATCGGTTTCTAGTGTGGTTCGGTAAATTGAGTTGTTTGGTCTGTAGCAGATTTCATTTGGAATTCTGCTGTTGGACCGGTGGTGTCGTAAGAAGGATACGAATAAGCGATTTACTCAGAATGGTACGTCAGTTTACACATGTTACAGTCTTTATATTCTAAAGGAACTGTTACTGTAAGAACAGGTAATCTACCTTAAGGTCCCCATGCAAGGTTACAAAGGATGGACTTAATAGTCTGAGAAAGCAAGCTTTTGCCGTAAATTGCAGTGCGCAGTTATTCCTGTGTTTTAAAATAGAAGTAATTTTGATAAATTATTGTGATTACTGTAGTAACCTCAGCTGTCTGAAGTGTCGTGAAAGAATAATGGCGGCGTAATTTATTGAGAGGCATTAAATGTATGCACTCGGAGTAAGGCTGTTTACTGTCCGTGAATGTTTGACGTTTCGAAAGAAAATTATAATAATGTTCACTTGCACATCCTTTGCTCTAATTCGGGCCAGTAATTTTCATATGCATTCACATGATTGGTGGGATTTTGAAGCTTATGACTACGACTGAATGACAAGTTTTCTAAAATTGAATTTGAGAGGATTAAATGTTGGAAAATGATCAGAATCGTATTAAAATTGCATAAGTTTAGTTTTATTCTTACTATAGTCTGGAGTAGTGTAAGATTTCCCTTTATAGAATTTTCATATTTTTATTCCATGTTAATTGTTTGATTGTGCATATTTTTATCAAAGTTTCATGCATGATGTTCCACTCAGAATTAACGTTTGAAAAGTTCAATTTAACATTATAAAAGAGAAATGCAGAATGAAGTGGAAGAACATGAATGCTGGGGCCGTGTATGTGGTCTCTTTGTCCTCTGAATTTTGTATATATCCATCCTCAGATTGCCTAGCAGTGCTCTCTGACTGAATTTAAAGTTGTATTCTATAAAAAAGATTTTCTATATAAAAGCATGTACTTATGCAGATGTGCCATGAACAATGTTTGTTGCACTTAAAATTGATCACCTGAAAACCAGAAATCACCATCCTTGAAACACTTCGTGCTAATTATTCATTGATCAGTAAAATGTTTTGGAAGTAATGCAGCATGCCACAGTAGTAACATAATCCTTAAAGTAGATAAATCATTAGGTATTTCCATATAATTTAAATTTTGTTCTAAACCACTGTTAATGATAGTGGTATATGTAGGGTTTCATTAATTATAGTTTATTACTGAAATTGACAGGTGAACAATGCTGTTGACATAGTATTCTCTTACTGCAGACTTGTTTCTTTTTACAATAAAATTTTGCAATAAATAAAACCATTCGACATATTGCCCCTGACATTGAAAAGGAATGGAGGAGATTTTAACCTGTAAACTTCTCTTGTGTTCCTTAAGGTATTTAACTACTTTATGTCCACTATTTTGTATTTATTTTCAAATCCTGACACATCCATGCATTTTTATCACTGTCAAACTTTCATGATGGAATGCAGCTGGACACAAAACTAGTGTTACATTGGGACTGTAATTGTAAAGGCTGAGTGCAGATGAGTTATACTGTTTTCACTGCAGACATAACTCATTGCTTTCCTTCAGGAACTTGGGAAGTCCTAGCAAGGACCAACTGAAAAAAAATTCTTTGGAGCAGAAATGTTATTCCATTACATTGAAATATCTTACCAGAACCTGTCCCTTTGTGTTATCAAGTGGTTCTTTAACCTTAGATGTATTTAAATTTGGCAAGTCAGGGGAGTTTGTCACTTGTTCTTGCAAGTGTAGATACATGTTTTAGTATTCATTCCTTCTGTACTGACTAAACCTACATTGAATATAAAGTGCTTCTTGGAGCAGACATTTCCTGTGTAATTTAACATAAATGTGGTCAACACTGATAAACTTTGCCATGATCATGTCATCTATCTAGTGGTGGGGAGAGAGGATATTTATACCTAAGTCTTCCTAACATTATCAGGAAATACACAAGGAGCTTCACAATTTGTACTGTACATGTAACATTGTTTGAATGATGGATGGGATGGCAGTATGTTGGAACACTTTCTGTGTCTGTTTTATGTATGTACTATTTTATCTACAGTAGTTTCATCTACACTTCAGCTAAATTTGTTTTGCCTACAAGCAAAGCACATAGTATGCAAGATGTTTCTTGGAAAATCTTTGAGAAAGAGACCACTTCAAGACCTATGCATAAATTGTGGGATAACAGTGAAACATGTAATTTAAACTGTCTTGGCCTGGAGTGAATAATGTGCAGTATTCGGGTAATGAGAATGCAGTGATGAACTTTAAGGTTCTGTAATATGTAGTTTCTTAAACTGAATAATTACCAACTGTTAAAGGCCCACCCAGCAACATCTGAGTTAGTATTTACCATTTGGAACATCAATTATATTTCCTCAATTTTAGGATGCATGTTTTTCACATTTTAACATTTCTGAAATCAGTGTCTTACATTTTATAATGCCTAAAAATCAGTATAGCATCTTCCTGAAAATCTTTCACAGAAACTAAAGATGCATCTTGCAGTTGATGGTGTTTTAAAATTGAGGATATACAGTATATTATATTCTTTGATATCTGAATGGTTTTGTGGTAGTGAAAATGAACATTAACCTGTCATGGAGATGTCACATTGCAGGATGTTTTCCTAATGATCAGGAGAAAAAAGCTCACTATTTTCACAGATGCAAAAGAGACAACAACGATACTTGAACTGAAGAAAATTATAGAAGGTAAGTGGTAATGCTCACTAACACTGTTTCCATTAAAATGCCAACCTTCTTTCTTAGTTTGATTGCTGTTGAGAAGGATGTAAGAAAACTGTAACTGCTGTGTTACAGCCATTTACCATTCAAGTAGTATGGCTCCAGATTTTCCATATATTCTAAATGGAATGTTTCCTGATCATCTTTCCTAGAGTACAATGGTATGTTTATACAACAGTAAATTTCCCTCATTCCCTTGGTTGAAATCCCCCAAGCTTTTCCACGTAGCATGGTGATGGGTGTCTTAGAAAAATTAAGTGATCTTTTCCAGTTTTGTTCTTGTCTGTTGAAGCTGAGCAATACAGGTACATGAAAACTTATTCATATGCATCCATATGTAAGGCATTAACACCACCTGAAGAGAGCTTATAAACGTTCCCAGGAGACTACTTTATAAATGTACAGATTCTGACTATTATAAGTTTCACACTGCTGCTATCTTTTAAATTGTCACAACATTAAAAATATGTTGTTTTCAGAGTGTGTAGGTACAGTTATGATATTCATAAAAGCATTTAACTTGTGTTTATTAATTTGGTCTTGATTTACTTGTGCATTCTTCAGAAAAGTTAGATTTTCCAAATATCTGTTGCTGTGGGTAACTGCAATATCATAGCCTGTTTTTCATGAAAATTGATCAGTTGGTTTGAAAGTCGTTAGGATAGATACCTGTGTGACTAAAGATACCACACACCTTGCTGTAGAAAGGAAAGTGGCCTACAGTGGATTAACATTTATTTCTATTCACAGGTATTCTTAAAGTTTCTCCTAAGAACCAGCAATTGTTCAAGGATCACCTACCCATGGAAGATGAAAAAACTTTACTACACTATGGATTGACGTCAAGTATTGCCAAAGCTCAGTGTCCTGGATCTATAGGCTTAACATTTAGGTGGGTACTTTATCCCTTTTCTACTATAGAGGTCTGTTAGAGATGCTTAGAGGTCAGTTATCTTTTGTATTACATTCATTGCTATGAGGTACCCATTCTCTGTGCTTAGTACTTTTAATACAGAGGAAGGTGTTGGCATTAAAAGGCTTCTTACACCATTTCTGTATGGCCAGCTACATTTTTATTGGCAATTATAAGACTTCACTAAGGCCAGTATGATAAATTGTCAGCATGGAGATTTAAATAACATGCATGAGTGGGTAAGTTTTTGCTGATATCATTTTGACACATGTGTAAGGCATGCAGCTCAAAATGTATTATGCACAATTAGACAGTTGTTTGATACATTTCAGAAATGATAATTTGGCTTTCTGCAGTGTGGCAAAATGTTTGTATGATATTGGTGAAAATTGAAGTTGGTTTTTAATAATGGTTCTAAAAAACTTCCACAGAATGAATTTGTTTCTGAATGAACAACATGACATAATAATATACTGATGTGTCCAGAAAATGAAGTATAACACAACAAGAAGCCAAGACAGGGCTACAGCACAATACAGTGTCAATAGCCGAGTTTTTCAGTACCAATTCATGATTTGTTATTCTCATGTAAAAACAATTGCAGCTTTTCAGTCTTGTCACAAGCACCATATATGCATCTTACCTCATTTGGAATGAGTTTGAATTCAAGCATTGGGATCAGTCCTTCTCAGTGTAGAGGTTGATAAAAGTTATAGCACTGTTTGTGTGCATGTTTGTATGAAGAAATTGTTTGTGCACACAATTCCAGTAATGTTGGTAATCCATGCGCCAAACCAACTCTAAGAGAAACAAATTTGCCATCAATGGCCAGCCTGATAATTTTGTAAAGTGAACAGTAGTGATTATCTTGTGGCAATGTTGCAAGTTTGATGTACCATACTTTTAGTGATACTTGTTTGATTGCTGTTGTTACAGGCTAGAAAATGGAGAGTTTGAACCTGTAGAATTAACACCCTTTTCATCTCCCCCTGATTTGCCTGAAGTTATGAAGTCTGACACCAATGGCCAAGAACAGTCATCTTGAATGCAGAACAGCACCATTACACATCAACAACTCACACCTACAGGCCTGTTTCCTTGACACTAATACACACCAAAGACAGGGATTTGTAAACTTTTAAGGTAGACTGAGAGATTCTGAATTAGGTTAATTTATTACACGATCATAAATGGGAGTGGAATCTGTGTTCTAAGTGCAGTTTGTTGATTCTGTTATACAAAATATGTGAATAATGTAAAATCAGTTTTCATATTTTAATTAATTTTGTTTTCCTTGCAAAACAATGTGTTCTTTACTTCTGTGATGAGTATTCTACTTGTAAATCTCAAATTGTATATCTCAGTTTTATGACCATATTAAATTTAGGAGTTTTATTAATTGCTCCAGTCACTTTAACTGAAAACAGCATGTAATTAACATTAGCTTAATTGGGTTTGTTCATATTAAAAATGCCTTGCTGTTATGTCTTGTGTATTTGGTAAGTTTTTATAAAATTGAATTCAGATAATTGTATCATGTAGTAAATATAATGAAAGTAATAAAATGTTGCATAAATTAAAAACATGACACAATAGTTCATTCTGACTTTCTGTTGTATCTGGTAATTAGAAAGTATTAAGTGAGATGAAGTTCAAAGTCCTCATTTTTCTTATCTGTAAGTTTACAGTTAATTAGCTGAAAGTTATGTAAGACAACTGCAAATTGGGTCTGTGTGGGCACTGCTATATTGCTCTGTATTTGCAAGCTTGAAATTTGAACGCTTTCTGCTGTTGGCAGATTTACAGCAGCAGAGTGCATTCATATGTTCTCATTGAAAGATTCCCTCTATAGAATGAAATGTGTGATTCACAGAATTATATCAAAAGGGCTGTTTTGAGGTTTGTAATGTGAGGGTATGGAAAAATGTTAATTATAGCTGCTGCATAAAGGATTGAGAAATTTTGTTATAAAAATTATGATCCTGGTGGTATAGGGCACTGAATTTGTGCCAAAGATCCTGCTGCCTGGCCTCTGATGAAGTCAAAATACTGTGCATGTTAGGTATATCAATCCCTCGGCCACTATATGGATCTTGTGTTTAGCTGTGGAATTCCTGTAATAGTACTGGAATCTTATAGGTGCCCTCCACCTCAGAAATCAGTTTTCATAATTTACAGGACAGGCATATGAAGGTCAAATAACATGAACTTGAGGTATTAGTAACACTATAAAATGCCATTTCCAAAAGCATAAGTTGGCATGTTAGTAAACATTCTTTATCTTGGATTTATGTCCTCATGTAGGAGACTGACCTTATGGATGTATCATACAGTGCCAATATCCTACATCTTGTGTATACATAACAGCATGTGGAGATGTGACCCTTGTACCCACACAAGAACGTTCTTGTTGATAAAATACATGGGGGGTTTTCAGGTATTATGTTGTGTGCACTGCTAGATTATTCTGCTTTGCCACTTCACACATTTAGTTTACTTGCTTTTGTGCCCTAACAGTGTTATTACTTAACCATTCTTGGAACTTGGGCCAACAAATTTGTTTTCAAAACAAATTTTAATGCTTGCAGTTGTATTAACTATAAGCCAAGATATATTGTATTAAACGTGTATGCTGTATTTTGAATCACACTTGCTATGTCAACTCAGGAAAGATGAACATTTCTGAAAAGTCAATTCTTGTAGCTCCTATTATAAATCTGAGCAGTACTGTTCTGATTATCACAAACCTACAACTATTGCTAATGTTTTAAATAAGCAGTGAGAATTTTTTGCAAGAGGAGTACTTTGGGAAGCTCAAAATGCTGAAAGTCAAATAATATTTCTTGTGTATTTACAACTAAAAATTGTTACTATAAATACAAAGAAGAAATTTAATATGAATACCCATGACTTACACTTATGGATGGATACTGCTTCATTTCCAGTAAACCTCCTAATATTGTGAAAGTTACCTACAAGTCACTGTGAAGTCCAGCAGTCCATATGCGGTATGCAGGTTATCACAAAAAACTCTCCTTTGGACAGCTTGGCATCAGAAATGTAACCTGACCAATTAGAGGTCTCACCTCTGTGCTGTGAAAACATAAAGGTTTAGAATTTTATTGTTTTGCACTGTAACACTACCACCTCATCCCAGAACCTGTTTATGAATTGGTTCTCAGATAAAAATAAATTACAAACATATCAGTGATTGTTTATAAAAATATTCATATAGAGCACCCACCCTGGAAAAGGGAAATAACAGCAGAATGAATGAAAACAGATTCAAGCAAATATGACATGAAATTTCAGTTGTCATCTTGCAGATGTCTCACTCCCATTTTATGTACAAAAATGCTATCTTATGGAAGCAAGATGTATCTATTGAATTACATTGACTTGAAATGTGTAAAAGCAGTGAAGTAGTGTACTGAATTCAAAGGGAACTATCTTTCAGATTTCAGGAAGTGGTCAATTGATAAAATAATCCACTTTTTTACACACTTTATAAAGCTGTCTCTCTTTTGTATAGCATGCAGCACCTTGAGACAGTATTCACTTTTTCTGTCCATGTCTGCAGCCACAATGTTGATGATTTTGTGTTATTAGTGTGTGTAAAATGGTAATATCCAGTACACACAATATCATAAATAGGGCACAACTATAATGGTGTAAATTCTTGTGAATGTGGTTTCCAATTGGCACAACATCCTACCCACTCCACTATCTCAGTTACTTGTGGGATGGACAATGTATGACATGCAGAAAAACTGCCGCACCTTTAGGATTATGCTGGAAAGGTACTAAGGGTAACTCTCACCATGCCATGCAGGTTGACTTTCACACTTATGGAAAGACAATTATGTGGGTTTTAAGCTTTGAAGGGTTGCAGTTTTGGCAGCTGCATGGTAGAGTATGGAATAACAGTTGTCAGTGGAACCACGGTTCCGGAGAATTTGACGTAAATACGTCTATATGGAAAGGAAGTTTATATATTGGCTTATTTCTAAATATTTCCTTTATACATGCTTTACAATTGAGTAAAGTTTGATTAAGACATTGCTTATTTAACTTGAATTAGTAAGGCTTCAGATGGGTCTGAGGTAGAATGTAATGTAAGGTAACTATGTAGGTAACCATTGTTGTTTATTTTTTGATAAACAGATGATGTTTCCAAGGTAACATAACAATGAAGTTACACTTTTTCGTAACACTTTTGCCGAATGACACTGACCCTAAAATATAGACGTATTTACGTCAAAAAAGATGATTTACAAATGCTCTGTATATAGTTTCAATCTATGATAAAGCAATGTGCTACACCTGGAGGTATGTGTTCACCTTGCACCACGTATCTGAACACATCCAGCTAAAGTCAGTTTCTTGCTGCTCAGATGTAAGCAAATGGCTTAACAATGTACACATTTGAGGTCAAGACAATGAGATGTGGAAACATAGTAACTTTAGAAGGCATGTGAGGATAATTAATAACCTTAATATTCAGTTTAAAATAATTTCCCACAAAACAAACTATCCTTCCAACACCTTATACCTGAAGATGGCTGTTTTCTGGGTTGTAGCGCTGTGTAGTCTCGTCAAAATTTACCAACGTTTCAGAGGTCCCTGCTGCCTCCATCATCGAGGTGATGAGTAAGCTGCGTGTATGGAAATGGTCTGAGTTACTGGAGACTTGACAGCCAAAGCAGATCCTTGGCCTGACCAGTGGGGAATGGAGTCAGAATCAGGCAAGGGCCTGGGAACCAACAGGAGGAGGGGGGGCGCCATGGCAGTTCCCAGGGCCTTGCCTGATTCTGACTCAAGTCCCCACAGGTCAGGCCAAGGCTCTGCCTTGACTGTCAGTCTCCTGTAATTCAGACTATTTCCACAAGCATGGCTTACTCATTGCCCTGATGGAATGGTGGTAAATTTCTACCAGACTAATGGTGCTACACTAGAAGACAGCCATCTTTGGATGCACCACTGTGAAAATCTCAAATCCTCTTCTTTTCCAGAAATGTCTGGATAACTGATACTCTGTACTTCAACATGCTTTATCTGATGTGAATCACTGAAAAGTAACAAGAATATATATAGTTTATTTGCAAATTACAGATCTCTTTGAATTCTGGGGTCTAAAGAGGCCCAAGAGCTGAAACTAGCATTTCAAGGTGCTAAAATATAAGCAGTAGTTATAAGCTTAGTATGCTGCTCAATGTTTTCACTGATATTTGTGCATAGAAAATATTAATATTAAATTGTTTCTCATTGTGTAAAATGGTAACTCATATATTAAGAAAGAAGCACTATGTAACAGTACATTCAGTCCAACTTCAGGTAGGAAAATGTATTTTAATGAGACTATATACATATAACATGTCATTTTATGTGGCACAATTGTCAGTAATATGATAAAAATTCAAAAAGCAAAGTTACAACTTTTTGATTTAAGAATATCATAATGTAATGTCTAAACCAGTACTTAGAATTCCCATAAATACAGAGTTTTGTAAAGATTATGGTCACATTGTGATTAAAGTATCATTTTCTGTTTCATGATACTGTACTAGGTTGTATGTATAACCAAGCTGAGATAATCTGAACAAATCCCTGTTTGTCATATGCAACACTTTATATTGTATTTGTTGCTGTAATTGTAATTTAATTTGTAGCAATTTTACAAAAGATTATTATTTGGCTTTGTAATATACCAATAAAACAACTTTATAACTTATACTGAAATAATAAATATCCTTTTCTATTCTTATTAAATGCTTTGGATGAGTGAGTTCTGTGTTAATATTAAATGTGCTACTGAAAACAAAACTGCTTGTCACTTTTCAACAGCCTCTTCCTCAGTTTCCATATTTGTTACACGTGTACTCAAAGTTGGCCATTATTTTTCTTGTACCATAATCCCAATATTATATGTAAATAACAGCACTAACATACAAGTGTAAATTCTAGGAAAGATCAGGGGCAATACAAAATGAATAAGGTGTGAATTAAATATGAATGTTTGTGATGATGGTGTATCATTAAAATAGCCAACTTCTTGGGCATTATCCACTGTCCAAATTTAATTAATAACACAACATTTCAGAGACTGGATTCTGTCTCTTACAGTAAAACCTACTTTGTTGGGCTGCTGATACAACTAGTTCAGAGATAGGGACAGAATCCAGTCTCTGAAATGTTGTTTTTAATTAAATTATGACAAATAGATGATGTCCAAGAAGTTGGTTATTTTATATGAGATGCAGTTAAAAACAATATAAATGACCTTGTTTCTAAGCCTAATACAGCAGAATGTACTAGAATTTAATGTCTTCTGCAACATATGATGAGCTAAAATGTAATTTATAAAGGTCTGATGGTATCAGGTTAAAGGTGGAGGTAAAGTTGCCTGTGCCTAAACACTCATCATGAATACACGTAGTGACATTCCTAACCTTGGCAGTGCATGGGCATGAATGGTGAACTTCACATTCCAGGCATTTGAGCACATAGTATCTACTGGATATGCACCATAGCTGCACTAAAAACAGTGCAAGTTATCAGAATCCACTGAACAGTGGACAGCGAAACTAGATGTGGCAGAAGGAGAAACCGCCACTGCCTGTGCTGTGAATGAAATGATGTCCATAGTGCTCACAGCCAGTCACATTACCGAGCAAGTTATGATTGTCAGGAAACTGAATCATGATTATAACAGTGAGTGCAGTTAATCCACATTTTATAAAACATAAGACAGGAGAGAAACATACTGTAGATTATCATGCATGTCCAAATTTGAACAAGACCTAAAAATATTGCTATTATAAAAATGTTATTACAGTCATGTATTTTTAGTTTCCAGTATGCTATGAACTTTATCATCCTGACATGAACCACTTTGCATCATTTTTTTCCTAGTTTGTTTAGAAATACCTCCTTTATTTGCATTTGTTTTCCCTTTCTCTTCCCACAAACTGTCACAACAAACGTCAAGCTGCAAGAATCTGTGTCTGTCATCTTCTGAATTTTTCAAACTTGAA